AGAGTGAAGTTGAGATGGATGATGATTATCTGCTTTCAAAGCCTACTCAGCAACTTTTGTCTGTCGCCTGAGGCTGATGGCTTCTAAGTGAGTTCAAAACACTAGAAAACACATTTTGTGTTTATTTTTGTTGGAACTTATCAAATATGTTGCAACAAAATGCAACCGACAAAATTGATTTTGYTTGTTATCTGTTTTTTTGACAGATCACAGTCAGGGAAGTGGATTAGTTAAGCCCCATGATTTTTATTGCAGATTTCTGATTCAAGAATCAAGTGAAACTTGTAATACTAATAAAGATAAATATAGAAGCATATGATTTGCTTATAGCCTTCTTTACAATGCAAATTTCTGTCGCTCCAGTCATAAAGCACTGAGAGCCACATATTAAAATGCATTTCATTTAGTTTTAGTATTTGCCATGGATTTCTAATCTTCCATAGTTCTAATCTTAATTATTTCCCCTGGCTACATACAAATCAATTGGAAAGCAACTTTGCATTTAGCTGAAACACTGAACAATCTTTTTTGTTAAATGATCATAACATAACAACTCTTTATTTAATCAATTTTTCTGAAGCCTTACTTGCATGGTGATCTGGGGATGAGCTGTAAGGTTTCTGCCAAATGCTGTAATAGAGACAAATTTCTATTAACAGTTTTTAATGTGTCTCTTTTATTTGGGGAAGAAAGTGTCTGCCTGCTTGCAGCCAATCATCAACTAAATATTCCACAAAAGGCTGTGTATAAGTATTCTTTTAAGGTCCTTGGAGATTATGAAAACAATAATGTGCCTGTTTTAGAATGCCTGGCAGCTCACCTTGATGGAGTTACAATAAAATGCAGCATGTCTGACACATCAACACTTTTCTTGCTCTCCCCAGGTATGTGAAGAGAGGTGAATTCGTTCACTCAGCTGAATGGTTTAGCTGGTGATGTTCTCATCTCCAGGGTGTGTCAGAAGTGGCTCTGCATGGCGTTGCTAAAGAATAACTGGTAAAAACTAAGAGCAGAAAGCCCAAATGGCTGCTTCCAGAAATAACCACAGGCTGGCCCAGGAAAGAAATAAGAATTCATGATAACAGGACAGGCATCCAATGACACAGTGAGGACAATCATTTTGTTGTGTTCTCCAAGCCTGTGTGTTGAGTGGAGAAAGCAAGTCTTCCTGAAGAGAAGAAGTCAGAAAAACAAAAGAAAATATAGATCCTCATTAATTTACTGAGAAAGCACAGTAGGAACATTGTTGAGAAGTCACTGTAATGGGAAAATAAGAAGCTTTCTCTGGTTTCRGTAATTAAAGACAGTCTGGAAGAAGAAAGTGTGAATGTTACATAGAAAAATGAGCCAGAAGTTGGCTCTGTAACAGACCTGTAATACCTTGATCATCCAAACAGTTTAGCTAGGACCATCTTTGGCAGGATGTTCTCTATGGCTTTGTAAGAGCAGAGCTCTTGCTAGCACCTGTCACATGTCAGAGAGAGCCACTGTAGAGGGAATCAATCCTGGCCACTTAAAGGCTAGTTTAGAGTCAGTTATACTCTTAAATGTTATCTAGGAAAAAAAAAAAAAAAAAAAAAAAMCTCCTGGAGGGGATTTTCTTCTTTTTCTTTCCAGGTGCTTTTTCCCTATGTGTAATACATTGAAATTGTTTTATTATGTTAGAGCTACCAGATCTGTGATCTAACCTATATGCTGTAATAATGAAAATACCCCTGCCAAAGGCTGTACAGCACTGTATTTTTCTTTGWGTCATTTACTGCAGTTTATGGTCTTCCTGAAATTGATGTGATGTCTCAAGCTGGTAGGAAACTATCTGAACCTTCACTTTTATTCTTTTTCCAACTGTTCCAGTAACCAAAGCAGAATAAATGCACATATGGATTGCAGAAGTCCTCTAGGCTATTGACCTATTGTTTTCATAATCTTATTTTTAAAGGTCAAAACATCYTGCAATGCAACAGAGCTGAATGTGAGAGAAATGAAAGGTTTTWAATATACCTAAAAGGCTGGAAGAATTGGACTTTTTTTCATCTGGGGAGAACAAATTTTGAAAGCTAGTGTCACGAACAGATTTCATACTGAGCCTTTAAGGGCAGGCAGGCAATGTGCTACAGCTTCTGCCTCATTTCACTAGTCCTTCCCCGACACAAGCTGGCTGCATCAAGACCCTTGTCCTTTTTAGTGATGCTGAGGAAGTGTCCCTCTGTCTGGAGCCTGCCTCCCTGGGATGTGACCTGCAGAGGGGCAGCGCTGCACAGCCCAGCTCGGGGAGCTGCCCGTAACAGGACACAGCTCAATGGCCTGTTGTCTCCCCAGCTGACTTTTATGAGAAGAGGAAAAGGCTCAGCAGGAGAAAACAGACAAATGAGAGGTCAAATATTTATAGCAGAGCTGTAAGACAGGAGGTCTGAAATCCCGAGGCAAATGGTAACATGGTGGCAGGGAAAACAAAACACAGAGTAAAGTACAAACACACAAAAATTCACTAAAGATTGCTGTACAACACATTATCAAATATCATGATTTACAATTCTTATCATTCACAGGCCATACAAATGACCATCACTTTAGGCTCTTGTACACAGTTACAGAAATAGGCTTTAAAACTTGCAGGAATTTAGACCCAGGCGATCATACAGGCTCTTGCCAAGTACTGGGTATAWGATTTCAAAAAGAAATCAATCAGAGAATTATAAATACTTTCTTCTAAATGAAACAAGTATTAATTAAGATTTGAATGCCTTTAAACATTAGCAGTTCTGCTTCATTAGCAGCACTTGAGAAATTTAAAGTGACCTCTTAGACAAAAATGGGTCCTTATAAAAGCCAGCAATAGGCTTTCTTTTTAACATTTCAGTCAGGATATCAGTTTTCAGAAAACTCTGATATTCTAAATATTAAAAAACAAAAGAAAAACCAACCCACATAATATGTAGTCTGATAACACACTTCTTTAAGGCGTGACATTTTCTCTGAAATTCATATTTTGGGAACAATTTTCATATGTTTCAAGTAATTATGAAGTTGATTTAATTAAGTTACAATCCACCCAGCTCTCTTTGGGGGAAAAATAATTATAAGGCTTTTACGTGGAATACAAATTAATTTGTTAGGTTAATTTTGTTATGTAGTGCTGATTTTCATAACGTTTTTCAAATAGATAGTTTACCAAAATGGAGCGGAAGATTATTGGAGAATGAAGGCACTGCAAAATGGTATCCAAATATGAATTATTTAAAAGTAATCATGGGTATCATTTGCAAGTTTTCTTAGCTCTTGGCTAAAAATATCTGATGCATACTGACAGCCCACTGTTTCAGAGGAAAAATGTAAAGTTTGTTATTTAAAGAGATAAGTGTTGAAACACACATATACACAACTCCTCCCCCTGCCCCAGCCAAAACCAACACAGCAGTTTGCCTCCTCCCAATTCCATCATCAACCTCTGCTTTTTACTGACTCAAATGATYGCTTTGTAGAACTCATTATTTTGTAAGTCAGCTTTAAAAGAAATATTATGTTCTGTCTTTGCAGTTCTGTCTGTGCTAGCAAAGTAATTAAAGCAAGAGCTCAGACTGGAATCCGCTGACTTGACCATCTATTGATAGAAGAGAACTGGCAGACTTTTAAATTAAACAAATATTACACTCTCAAAGAACTTCTGTGCCAGGTTCAGGAATAAGCACATGCAAGKGATTGTTCCAAATAATTATTTTGCCTGCCACCACTCTGTTTTGGAGGCTAACAATGTTTAATTGTATGGCTACAGACCAYTGCCCGCCAGCTGGCCTTGCTTCCAGAGACTAGGTTTCAGCCTGTTTAGTTTATTAGTTTGCCTAGCACACTTGTGAGGCTATATYGGTGAAAAAATTAATATTGTCATGTGAGTTAAAACTTTCCTGGCTGAAGATAAAAAAGGACACATGAGAATGCCTTTATTCAAAACCCGTGTTCTTTTCAGTAGGTTGGTGACAGACTGAATCTTGTCAAGCCCTTATAAAAAGTCTTGCTGAAACTAAGGTATCTCTACTGTTTTCCTTAAGAGAAAAAAGTCTCTTACACAAGCAAGGAAATGTGAAAAGCTGCTAAAAAAAAAAAAGTCTGTGAAGTTCAAAACTCTAAAATTTTGACATAGTCTTAATTTTCAACCCCAGGGGGTAAAATAACAGAAGTCTTCCAAAAGTAAAAAAGTTTCTCTCACTTCTGTTGTTTACAGTGTGTCCTGTTTGCAGAGTCAGGTGGAGCTTAACACTGTGGGTCATGCAACCTACTCTGGAAATTATAAGACAGAATCACAAAATCACAGAATCACATAATTGCAGAATCCATTAGGTTGGATAAAACATTTGAGATCATCGAGTCCAACCTCTGACCAAACACCACCTTGCCAACGAGACCATGGCACTGAGTGCCACATCCATTCTTTCCTTAAACACCCACAGGGATGGTAACTCYACCACCTCCATGGGCAGCCCATTCCAATGCCCAATCACCTTTTCTGTGAAGAATTTCTTCTGATGTCCAACCAAAACCTCCCCTGGTGCATCTTAAGACTCAGTCCTCTTTTCCTGTCCCTGGTTGCCTGGGAGAAGAGAYCAATCCCCACCAGGCTACAATCTCCTTTCAGACAGTTGTATTAATAAAGAATGATTAACAAAGAGACAGCTAATGAAAAGTAGGAATTGTATATTATTTGTCAAAAAATTTACCAGCATCTTCATCTCTTACATGGCGTAATCTAGCTCCACACTTGTAAGCTTATTTTCATGTCCATCCTTACATATATATTTGAGAGAAAAATTCCAAATAAAAATATCCTGACACTTACTATAGGTATGTTGCCCATGYAAAGCTTACAGGTTGTGTGGATGACACAAAATTTGGCTTTTGAAAATAATTTATTTCCAAATAATTTTGGAAAGTAATTTATTTCCACAAAAACACACATGAGAGAGTATAGTTTTCACTAGGCATTTAAGTTGTAACATACTGCAAGCAATAATTTTGCTATTTGTTTTAAACTTGGTTATTTTTACAATTTTAATTTCACAGAAGAGTGATTTCTTACACAGGTAATGTAAAGACACAGAAGTGAAAAGTGTGAGCTCTATAAACAAACAAAAGAAGCCACAATTAGGTTTAAATTCCTCTCACACCCAAGGGATTTTGAAACAACACCTGCAAGACCTAAACTGACTAAGTGAAAATAAATAATTTAATAAGTCTTGGTTAACTTCCTAGCAACATTTAACATTGAAGAGAATAATATGTCATGCTTGAACTGGCTGATTAATGATTGGCACTGTAACATTTTAAACCTRTCTGAGTGATCTACCAGTGTTAAACATCTTTTGTTGGGCTTTACTCCTCTGCTGGGCTGAGGAAAACTGTAACTTGACAAGTTTCTCAGAGAGCCAGAACACAGCTCAGAAGAGTTTATTAAGGATGGATTAAATATTTTCCTTCATATGTATGCTGTACATCTATGACACTTAACATAAATAACATTTATAAGAACTAGTCAGGAATTGATTGAAAGCTGTTTAGCGCAGTTAGCAAGCTGGATCTTTCAAAAGTTCTTGTTTGGATTCATTACAAACCATGCTATTTCTACAAGTTAAACCAGAACTCAAGTGAGAAATAATTCAGCTAATATCAGCATGATGTGGATCAAGCGTTCATTCTTCCTGGAAAGAAAAACAGAGGTGAYTATTTGAAATAAATTTTAGAAATTATTAGAGTGTTGCTAACTAACATGCAAAAAATAACATTTGTTGCATTCTTTTCAACAGTGGTAGTCTGCAATCTTCCTCAATCTTCTCTTGTCTACTTCCTTTTGAAGCAAAGTTCACTTTTTGAGATTATGTCTCCATAGTGACTTATTTTAACTTAAAATTTAAGTTATCAGTTTCATATTTGAGACTTGTAAAAATTTTTAAAATGTGGCTTTCATTCTTTCATTTAGAAATCTCATTTAGTAAGAGCTTGAAATTTGTTGCTCTAAGGTAGCATTTGTTACTTTACTGCTGAAAATTGAGATAAAATTGGAAATTTGAACAATGCAGGTATTTTATATAAATTTCTGCTAATTATGAAAGAAATTACCTAAGCTCTAGGATGAATTTTGCAGAAGGACTATTACGTAACAGCAGCTATACAATTTTGTTCCATATGTAGTCATCCTAGAGGAAATGAAGAACACTTATTAGAAAGTCAAACTTAAATATACAAAAGAGCTGATGATTATCAGTTTTCCAAATTATTCTTTATATTCCAATTTGACTTTGAATATTTAAAGCATTATTGACCTTGTTAAAGCATTACATAGTRTGTGCATGGGTGTGGAAAACAATTATAGCGTACGTATATAATACATAGCAGATTTTATTAAATGTAAAGTTTATATTAAATATCTGACATACCCTGTCTATAGACATAGTCATAAATATTCATATGTATTGATTATACATACCAGAAACTGAAATTAGGCCAGTGGATTTTGTACYATTTTTTATCATTACTAGACATAGTTCAGGTATTTATGTATTATAATACCATTTTTCATATCTCCGTTTTCAAACAGAGATGAGAAGAACAACATTTAATCTTTCCATGCAAAATTTTTTTTTTCTTCTCAAATTATGTACAAAATACTGAATGACAGTATTCAAAGCCTGAAAATGTCCATCTGTGCAAAGGATTGGTATGAGATCTGTGGGGTGCTGCTACCATATGTGCAGCTCAGGGCAGGATTAAAGAGAAAATGTACTCAGTGCAGAACTCCTGGGAGGTGTTCAGTGGTTTGGTGCTGCCAAAAGGGTTCAGAAGAAGCAAAGTTCAGAAGAGTGACAATCAAGAAACCAGTGGAGTGAGACATCTTTCTGTAAGATATCCATGTGTTGTGTCTTAAGYATACCCAGTTTTATTTATAGTGTTTGAAGATCATTTGCGGGGGGTGGGAGGGAGGGTGTTTAGAAGTTGGAGAGTTACACAGTACTGTGTGTTTGAAGTCTTTAAGGTTCCTGGCTCCACTGTAAGTCCAGGTTCAAGCATCCAGACCCATCTTCAGAATAGGGAGGACACAGTTACTCTTTGTACAATATAGGAGTTGGTTCAGAGCATGAGCTCTTGATGGGAAAGTGTGGAAAATGAGTGAAGGGCCAAATAGACCAATTCCTTCTTATGGCTCTTGACCTGTATTTTATACTATAGAAATTAACACCTGATTCTCTTGAGTGTGAGCGAGATTATTCCTGCTATCAGATCAGTCAAGAAATGTGAGTGGCTAACCTGATTCTAAGATAATATAAGAGACAATCATTGTGAAGAACTGAAGTGGAGGATATGGTCAGATGTTACAATAAAACCAGKTTTTCAGCAAGATTACTGAGGTCACATGAGAAAGCAGCCAAGTGGGTCAAAGTTGTCAAAGAAAATGTGGGCTAAGCACTTTGAAGAGACAGATTTTCTTGCATCAGCATGCCTATAGCATATTCTACATCTTTATGCATCTTTTTTTTTTTTTTTTTTTTTTTTTTTTTTTTTTTTTTTTTTTTTTTTTTTTTTCTGAGCCCAGAACCTGCAAGCAGATGCTGGCCCACACCATGTCCCTCTTTGCCAGAACCCCTTCTCAGGGTCAGGCCCTTGTTCACCCACCACCATGCTCTCTGAGCCAGAACCACTTCTCAGAAGAGCCTTTTAGTCCAGGTACTCAATCATAACACTCATATGAATTTTCGAATAGTCTTAGTGACTCCTTTTATTTTTATTCCAGGCTCTCTGTCTCTTAACCATACTGACAGCAAAGARCTTTATTGACTCCCACCAAATGGCAAGCAGAATTGCACCTCAGATGTGAACTGRTCACACAGACCAGTATTGGCTATTTTACTCTGCTTTTTCAACAGTTAAAAAGGTTCAAAGTGAGTGAAGCTAAATTGAATCTGATGGGTTTTTAGCCTACCCTGAATAATTTGCTTCCTTTGTTATGATTAATAATAAAGCAGCTGTGTTCTAAAATTATCTCAGGTATGTGATCCCCACTCTTTTAACACAGTAGTGATTACTCAGTAAATTGCYCTTAAACCCAACTATGTGTGGAATGATAACTGAGAAAAAAAAATTGAGAACTGGAAACCTAATATTTCTTAATTGTCTAACTTAGAAACAGCCCCTTGATTTCTCTAAAATCTTGAMGTTTCCTTTCATGCAAAATCTTCTGTGAGTAGTTAAAGGGAACTTTGAACAACTTCAACATGGAAGTAATGTTTACTGCAATTTTATAATTTACCACATTGTCAGTGAAAAAGTCGACCAACTTAGCAAGCAGTAGGTATAGATTTTACTGTTTATGTTTGACTGTCAGAGTTGCATATGAAGTATAATTTATATATGTTTTTAAAAAATCTATGAGAAGAGCCAGGGGTTATCTGGCAAAGCTTCTGATGAGCTTGTTTTATGTTAAGAGCTGCCAGAATAGCAGCCATTAATGAACTGATTGATGTGCTGCATCCTTAGAACTTACAAAACAATGCTTTMTTTTCAAATGTTCCTATAATTTTCTTCTTCTTTTCTTTGGTATAAATCATCATATTTCATATAAAAGTAAATTTGTAATCTATATAATTCTGATCAAACCACTTATATTTTGATCTCTCCTGTACCTACTTCTCTCTCTCAATCTTTTTTTAGACCCGCCTTCTTCAGTCCTTTTTTTACAGAAAGGTCCATTAGAAGTTTAATACAGAGAATGATGGCGAAGGCTGTGAGTGAGGCTTTAWAGTCTAAACACCTCATCACTTCAATAATGTGGTTAGCCTTTGAAGCTTTATTAGGCCTGAGACAGCACCTGATCACTTTCACAGTTTTCCCACTTGGCAGCCATTGACTGTTAACACAYAATTGAAACAGTTTCTTAAGCAACTTGTATTTTATTGATTTAAACACTTTTCAACATACCAAGAGTGAGAGTATGATTATAGATTAAAGGAGATTAACTATTCTTTGCTGAATATTTTTCTCCTTTTGATGAATTATTCCTCAGTAGTAAGTGAGAGCAACAACACTTATTTTTTTAAAGTATTTAAATGACAAACAAGAAAAACTATTTCAATAACAAAAAGTTGATTTGGATCGATCTGAGAGTAACAAGTATTATATTAGGATGGCTGACAGAGACATAAAATGTTTATTACAACCAAGTTTTAAAGCTTCTTAGGCAACTTTACTCTCCTCAACATTGAAAAAAAAATCCTACTTAAATGAGGAAAATAAGTTCAATATTAAAGAAAAACCTAGAAGAAAATTAAATGTTAACCACAAAAAATATGCAGGACCTGAAATTTTTCAACCACTTTCACCCTGTGGAGCCTAAAAATAAAAATAGAAAATCTGAATTGGTGTCATTCATCGAAAATGCACTGGAGCTGGTGGATTTATGCCCTCTGGCTCTAGGCTTTGGATCTCTACTGTAGCTTTCATTCCATTTGTCTTCATGCTCACACCAATCTTCCTGCTTAAAATGAAAAGGGCTAGAAAACTTTCACTGCACATGACATACCAGATTCCTCAGAGAATAATACCTGAATAATTTTTGCTCCTCAGAGAAACTGAGTATATGATCAGGACAGCATATTTTGGAAAAATATTTTCAAGCATCTATGTTTTCAATCTCCTTTATATTTCTGAAGGGACTGGACCTCATTTGAGAACTGGAAACTTAATTGAATTGTCTAACTTAAAAACAGCCTCTTGATCTCTTTCTCACACAAAATCTTCTGTGAGAAGCAGTGAAAGGGAACTTTGAACAACTTCAAGAGGAACTAACCTTTACTCTAATTTTATAATTTATGAAATTGTCAGTGAAAAAGTCTACTAATTTAGTAAGCAGTAGCTATAGATTTTACTAGTTTTGTTTGACTCTCAACACTGATCAGCCATTTGCAACTGATGTAGCAATATTGCAGGATGYAGCAGTGAAGAATACAATCCTACCTTTAATTCTCATGCCTAAACAAACATGCAGAACTTTTGTCTTGTAAACATAAATCTAGCATTGTCTGCTGAGGCAGGAGAATGTGTGAAAACAAGTCGGCTGGTAATAGCATTAGATTGGGTGCAACAGCACGTGGGACATMAAGGGCAGCTTAAATTTATATGTTCCATAACAACCAAGGTAAAGGAACAGCACTGTTAATATTCAAAGCCTTTTCTACAGGTGGAAGGGAAGTAAGAGTAAAGCTACATCTACATATCATGGTCAATAACCCCAAACAAGTAATTTTTGCCTTACCATAGTTTCATTGTATGGATATTATGGTCTATAATTCATGCTGAAGGAGTGAAAATAAGCAATGAAATGGAGATGATTAACAAAATCTACAACAATTTGCAGATAGCATAAACATGTAGTGAAAAGCAGCTCTTAAAATGGCTTCATTATAGACAGGAGAAATGGTATTTCTCTCAGAATTTTTGTAAAAAATGTTTTGTTATTTCTTTAAAACTCTTAAATATCCCCAAGACAGTTATATCTCTSCACAAAAGTTAATTGAAAGTGTAGTATGGCTCATTCCCTATGTCATAATATTCACTAATATGGGTGAAAAACTGGAAAGGAAGCAAATTGTTTTCTTCTTTTCATCTTTTGATAATATGCTGATGAGTCTTCTTTCTTCCAAAGTGAAAGCTAATTTTTATCTTTTCTTGGGAGATAAGCAGGGATATTTAATGTTGCTTCAGAGAACATCATACTTCTAGGATATCCATTGCCTTAAATTCATCTTATGTCATCAATTTATTACACATGATCAAATTAATTCTATCACTGCCACATAATTCTATTTTGAAAGGTAAGTCAATCTTCAGTGCTGAACACATTGTACTGCCCAAGAGTACTCAGAAAAACCTTCTAGCCAAGCGTTGTGTGAGGATAACAGCCTATCAAGTTCCCATGGATACTCACAACGCATGAAGACCCAAAGGTCGCTGGGTCATGAGAAAAAAGATCTACCAACCTGAAGAGTACAGATGCTAAACCTGTGAAAAGTTCCCAAGAAGAGCCGTGGTGCATGAGTGGCTGGAGGTCACGAGGGCATGAGAATTTGGGGGGTTCCTGCACAGTGAACCTCCACCCTTGGAGCGCACCAACTTTGCTTTAACTAGGGCTCATGTATTACACGTT